ATCATGACCCAACTCCACATCACTGACATCGCTCTCGTGAAGCTCAAACTTGTACTTCCGAAACAACATGCCCAACGTGAGGTACAGCTCCACATATGCCAGATTGATACCAAGACAATTGCGCGTACCGCGACCGAAAGAAACCATGAAGCGCTCCAGCGGAATACCGTCAGCGGTCTTGGGATCGTTGAGCCAGCGCTCCGGGATGAAGGTGCGGGAAGAAGGGAAGAGAGTTTCGTCGTGGGAGACTTCGGGGATGGTCATAGACTGTGGGGGTGGGGTTAGTTCGGATGCGATGGGAAGATGGATCATGAAGGAGGGTAACGACTTACAATGCAAGTATTTGCGGGGATGACCCACTCTTTGTACTGCAAAGGCGTCTTGTGTGTCCTGGGGTTTCTGGCACTCAGGCCGTATGACATGCGCGCGGTCTCCATGATGATTGCTTTAAAATACGGCATCTTTTCCAATGGACCCAGCTCCAGTTCGTCTCTGTTGGGAAAAGCTTCTACTAGCTCTTTGTGCAGGCGCTCGTAGATGCGTGGGGTGCTGATGATGTGGAACACGGCTGTGGAGAGGGAGAAGGCGGTTGTCTCTACGCCGCCTCCAATAATGATTTGCGCTTCATCCTCGAGACGTTTTTGGGTTTTGTCAGAGTCTGGTAGCTTAGAGGCGACAATCTCTTGAAAGATGGTCTTCTTCGCATCATTGGATTTGATGTCCTCGCCTTGAAGGGTGCGCACAATGTGAGTTCGGTTATCCTGACTCGCATGTTAGACTCAACGCGGTATAGATGCAGTGCTGTGCCGCATACCTGCTTGAACTTGAGCACTGGCTTCACTGCTGGCTGCAGCCAGCCGCTGATACGGTCAGGGATACAGTCGAGAATCTGCAAAAACCATGTCAGTTCCACGTGTGACTTGTGCACATCTTGAATGATCTAAATATAACCCACGGGAAGTATCATGGGGAACTGCGTGGCGATGTGACCCACACCGCCAACCCGAATAAAAGTATCATGGAATGACTCGAATTCAGGATGCTTGAGCTGGTTGTAGTTGAAGCCGAAGAAGTAGTCCATGATGATGTCGCCTGTCAGGGCGGGGAAGGCATGGGATAGGTTAAGCGGCTCTGCATCAGCCTCAAACTCTTGGATGCGCACGGAGAGGGTGTCGACATGGCGGTGGATGATGTGTATGAAGTCGAGAATGGAGCGGCGTGAGAACCTGACAGCAGGCGTTAATCGTGCCGAGGTGCCTTGCACTACATGTTGAAGCACCTACATGGGAGCCAACGCAGCACGGCGTCGCTTGTGCTGCTCCGCGTTAACGGTCGGCAGCAGACCGCCTGCACACCCAAACCTCTTGTCCCAACCCTCCTTGTCGAGGTGGACGTTCTTGGCGTAGACTTGGTCGTAAAAGTATGGGTCTCGTATGTGCAGTTCATCAGGCGTCACTCTTACAACAGGGCCATAGAGATCGTGGAGCTTGGAGATTTGCTTCGAGTACTGCCCCTTGTGGACAATTTCGTAGTAGCCCTCGTACCAGCTTGTGGCTGCCGCGATCCTGGGGCCAGGAAAGCGGGATAGTGGATGGCAATATAGGCGGTAAAAGACACGTGCGAGGAGGTACACAAAGTACGCCAGCAGGCACAGAGCGGGAAGAGACATGACGGCTGGCTGTCAGAGAGGCAGTAAGTCGATCAGGCGGCGAAGCGCTCTTTAGAGAGCAGAGTGCGCTCCTACATGTCGCTAAGGCATGTGGTGTTTGCAGACTGATTATGGAATGGGGTGCGTTTGACCCGGCATCCTGGATCCTACGGCATGGCCGACGAAAGTAGAGAGGTGGAAGATATAAGGCGAGGCCTGACCCCGCGAGTGCAAACGTTCTTGGAAAAGAACTGGAACACAGCATGTCAGCCCCGCAGGATCCAACAGCCGAGGGCAACCTGCAATCCGTCCTGCATCTCGACGTCGACACGGCCAACAACAGCGATAGCGATTCGGCATTCGGCGGCGAATCTACGGCATCCACGTCCATCGCATCAACTATCCTGAACTATGAATACTCCAATGGGCGGCGATACCACGGCTACCGGTCCGGCTCGTACATTTTACCGAATGGTCAGTCCTGAGTGTACGAAGTGCATGTGAGACCAATGCTGACTTTGTACCTCCACCTCTGCAGACGAACAGGAGCAAGACCGCCTCGATCTCCTCCACCACATCTTCCTGCTCATCCTAGGCGGCAAGCTCTACGATGCGCCAATCCCGCCTGCGCCCCAGCGCGTGCTCGACATCGGCACCGGCACCGGCATCTGGGCCATAGACTTCGCCGATGAGCACCCAGGAGCACAGGTCATAGGCACTGATCTCAGTCCCATCCAGCCAACGTGGGTGCCGCCCAACGTCAAGTTCTACATTGACGATGCCGAGTCGGAATGGGTTTACAGCCCTGACGAGGCCTTTGACTTTATCCACTGCCGAACCATGTCTGGCAGCATTTCCGACTGGGACAAGCTGGTGCGGCAGACGTACACGCATACTAAGCCTGGTGGTTGGGTGGAGTTTCAAGAGCCGCTTGCGTTGTGTGAGTGTGACGACGGGACCATGGAGCTGGCAACCGACATGCTCAAGGTAAGTTTTGACTGTACGAAGTGCCCGTGAGACATAAGCTGACTTCGTACCTCTATCTCTAGTGGCAGGAGTTGTGCCACGCTGCCGCTAAAACGTGGGGAAGGGACATCACGGCCGGGGATAGCCTGAAGCAGCGGATGACGGATGCAGGGTTCATCGATGTTCACGAGAAGCTCATCAAGGTATGTCTACCCTCTTCCCCTACACTATGCCGTTTACGAGGCTAATGCGGTGCCTGTAGATCCCTATCGGCCCTTGGGCCAAAGACGCGAAAATGAAGGAAATCGGCCGCTACCAGCGCGAACACATGTCCATGGGCATTGAGCCTTACACTCTCGGTCTCTTGGGCAAGGTCATGGGCTGGAGTGAGTCCGAGTGCCGTGTCATGATTGCCAAGGTGGTCGCGGATATCAGGAGGAAGGATGTGCACATGTATATCCGCTTCTACTTTACTCACGGACGGAAGCCGACTTGAGGGCTATATAGCCAGTATATATGATACCAGTCAATTACATTCGTCGCTTAACTCGCGTGAGCGCCCTTTCAACAACGGTCCTCCCTAGTTGAGGTATACTCTGGCCACCGTATATTTCCTGGTCATTCTCGTCTTGCTCACCCTCTACACTGGCGGGTACAACTCTGACCTCGTACTGTCGCGGCGGATCCCTCAGACCCGGCCAGATATCCAAGGGCAGAAAATCACCCTGAGCCACGGTGAACTGCTCCCTTGCACGTTCATCCTCGAGGCGTATCCTGTCCAGCTCCTTTTGCGCTTCCTCGGCCTTCCGTTTGGCCTTTTCGTGCCGCCTCCGTCGTGACGACACCTCAACGAGGAGTTCGGCGTAGGCCAGGTCGAAGCGTTCGAAGAAGTCGCGCTGGCTCTCCCACTCGTCGATGCCGCTGAGCAGGCTAGGCCGTGTGTCTTCCAGCCATGAGGCATAGAAGGAGCGTGAGGTCACAATGTGCTCTTTGACTTGGCCAGTGATTTGCGACATCATCTCGAGTATCTTGGAAAGGGCTGACGACTCGCTGCGGACATGGCGGATGTGATTCTCGATCTGGCCCAGAAGGAAGGTCATCTCAGAGCCTCGTTCCTGTATCTCAGTCACGACGTCTTCCACCTCCTGCGCGTCCTTTTGCAATACGTTGAGCATGTCGCGGCGCTCTTCTTCGCTCATGGGCTCGGGGGGCGCGGCGCCATTATCCTCGGAGTGGACTGGCGCATCTCCTGTTGCTTGGGTGGCAGCAGCGGAACCTCCTTCTGTATGGCGCAAGGCTGTTATGCACAGGTCGTAGTGCTGGACAAGCGACTGGAATGCCTGGGCAGCCTCTTTTGCGTGGCCCTCAAGATTATGGTAGAGGCTGGGTATAGGGCTCGGGGTGGACGTGGACACGGGTGTCATGGGCACGTTCTCGATGGAGGAGTAGAGGTTGTCCAGACAAGTGTCGAAGACATGGGAGCTCTCGTCGAGCGTGGCATGGGCGTCGTTGTAGCGGTCTATGCAGGCGCGCAGTGTGGACTGCAGGTTGGAGACGGTGGCGCTGTCGATGAAGTCGTAGAGGTGCTTCTGGGGAGTGCCCGGAGGCTGCAGGGCGCCTTCAATGGGCGTGTCGCGCAGGACGGCGAGGGTCGAGTTGACACCGGCAAAGGAGGCGTCGACGTCGTGGAGCAGCTGCTTGAACTCGGCCTGGACTTCCGACTCGACCACGTCTACGCCGCGGCGGACGGCTTCCAGGGCATCCACCTGCTGCTCGACGAGGTTGCGGATGGACGTGTTCTTGGCGGAAACAACTGCGTTCTCTTCGAGCAGGTCACGTGCCGTGTTGACGATGTCGGTGGCGCGCCATAGGACCGTCTGGGTGTTGAGGGAGCGTTTGGCGGCGACAAAGTGCTTGACGAGATGCTCGAGCGTGAGCGACTGGGCGTGGTCCTGGTCCAGCGACGTCCTAGATGCAGCGCTGCTGGTGGGCGAGGCTGGCGAGGGTGGAGAGGCCATCGTGTCGGCGGCCACGGCAGCGGGTGTTGGGCATAGTGGCAGCGGTGCCGGTCGAGTGGTAGTTCGCGATGCGAGGCTCGTGATGGTGAATGATGGCATGCGCGACTAGAGCTGGTCCGAGCGGCTGCATGGGGGGTGCAAGCGTGCCAGGGTCCACAGGGCTGCGGAGACATTGGCGGCATTGCGTGCTGAAGATGCTATCCAAGCCTGCCATTGCGCCATTCCACCTCTTCGTGCGCCCAAACTCTGTCGCTCGCTAGCATATTTATGCGCAACGTGCCATCGAGTCGCCGTTACATCCGCACGCACGCGATATCGCCCCGGAATCTCGACAGCCCTCGCATCTTGCCGCAGCCCATGAATTGACCATGGCGTCGCAAACCACCCACGCCACCACCGCTCCTCCCCGACCAAGACGTCTCTCATGGCGCCCCCGAGACTCGTCGCCTGACGACTTCACCGCCGCCACCTCGACAGACCCGCACGCTGCCCTGATGCATGGCCACGACCACGAAGGCATGTCGGAGCGGACACGACACCAGCACGCAACCACAGACGAAGCCGAAGAGGCCCAGGCGAACAAGTCGAAGAAAATGGAGAAGATGATCACGCCATACCTCGCCCAGCACATTCCCCAACAATATAACCCCCTCGGCGCCAACAGCCCAGGGCAAGACGAGCGTCCACGCACTGCCAACACCAAGTTCTGCTATCGACACCGTCCCGACCTACTCTGTCGACGGCAAGCAGACGAGCCGTCCATGGAGCAACTGCAGGAACAACTTGGTAGAGAGTCTCAGGCCGACCAGCAGAGCATTGCCAACGTCTGGTCGCTCTTCTCGGCGGCTCCGTCCCGCCATCGCAACCTCATGCTGCAGGGCATTCTCGCCCAGTGCTGCTTTCCTCAACTCTCCTTCATATCCTCCTCCGTCCGAAACCTCATTAAGATCGACTTTCTCGGCGCACTGCCCACCGAATTGGGCTTCAAGATCCTCTGCTACCTCGACACCACCTCACTCTGCAAGGCCTCGCAGGTCAATCGGCGGTGGAGACAACTGGCAGACGACGACGTCGTCTGGCACAAGATGTGCGAGCAGCACATTGACAGGAAGTGCACAAAGTGCGGCTGGGGACTCCCGCTTCTCGACCAACGTCGCTTGCGCCACGAGAAGAGACGGATACAACTGCGCGCATCGGGGCGGGGCCTCAACGAGTGGTCGCCAAACATCACCCCACAGCCCGAGACCTCCCCCGACACACTCGCTCATCGATTATCTCAAGGCCCCGACCCCGCTGCCAGCACCAAGCGCTCTGTGCCAGACGACGATTCTTCTCCAGAAGCTTCGAATAAGCGACCATGCACCAGCCTCCAGCCAGGTCAAGACCAAGTCACATCATACTTTGATCATCCTAAGAAGCGACCATGGAAGGATGTCTACAAGGATCGCTACAAGGTTGGTAGCAATTGGAAGTACGGACGTTATTCGACACGCATATTCAAGGGCCACACCAACGGCGTCATGTGCCTGCAATTCGACGATCAAGTCCTCATCACCGGCTCCTACGATGCCACGATCAAGGTCTGGGACATCAAGACGGGTCAAGAGATCCGCACCTTAACAGGCCACACCCAAGGCATCCGATGCCTGCAGTTTGAAGACAGCAAACTGATCACTGGAAGCTTGGATAACACGATCAAGATCTGGAACTGGCGGACAGGCCAGCTTGTAAAATCCATGAACGGCCACAGCGATGGTGTAATTGGCCTACATATGGCAGACAAACTCCTCGCATCCGGGTCTTCAGACAACACCATCATGGTGCACGACTTCAGCCACATGAAGCGCACCACCTTACTAGGCCACACAGACTGGGTCAACGCCGTCAAGATCGACCTCCCCTCGCGCACCCTCTTCTCCGCCTCCGACGACATGACCGTCAAGCTATGGGATCTCGACACCCACCGCTGCATCAAGACCTACGAAGGCCACGTCGGCCAAGTCCAACAAGTGCTGCCCCTCCCGCAAGCCTTTGAAATCGACGAAGACGACTTTGTCGCAAACGCAAACAATGATACATCCGATACCGCTTCCCTCGCCTCGGATACCGCCCCGCCTCTCGCCCATACCTCGTCTTTTTCATCTCACCACCACAGTCACCCCGAAGAACCAAGTTTCTTCCCCGACGACCCCTCCCGTCCGTCTCCGCCCTCATACATGCTCACCGGCTCTCTCGACGGCACAATTCGCCTCTGGCACGTACCTTCTGGTCGCTGTGTCCACCGCTTCTTCGGCCATGTCGAGGGCATCTGGTCGCTTGCCGCCGATTCACTTAGACTCGTTAGTGGAGCTGAGGACAAGACGATTAAGATCTGGGATCCCCGGACGGGCAAACACGAGAGGACGCTCACGGGTCATACAGGTCCCATCACTTGTGTGGGGCTGAGTGACGAGAGGGTTGTTAGCGGGAGTGAAGACGGTACCGTTCGTGTGCATTGTTTTACCCCCGAGGGCGCGTGAGTGTTGGCGTGGTGGATTGCATGAATGATTGATGATTGAATGAACAAACACTGTCGGTGTGTTCTCGTTACGCCATTATAGCGCTTTTATTCTTCTTCTTCTGGCGAGGGACGGGTTTGGAGTCCCCGCCATCTACGATAGGATCTCATGGGCATTGGCGTTACATAGATACCCTCCTTCCCTCTTTAGCGACAATGTAAATATCTGAATTAAATGTGCTTGTTATAGCGAGACCTATCCACCTTTTTTCGTTCCCTTGAGAGCCTTCCTTCTATAGTGTCCATACGTTATATCATCTCATAGCCAAATTAGAATCGCACAAACCGAAAAGCTTTTCCTGCCATTAATAAAACATCCTCAAACGCCCAAACCCCTCTGAAGCCAACAAACCGGCCCCTCCTTCACACTCTTCGTATACGACCCATCCAGCAACAACCCCCTCTCCTTATCCATCCAATCCACAATCTTCTCCGCAGACTTGAAATCCAAATCCCCTAGTTTTGATTCTATCCCCGTAACACCAGCCTTATCGTACGCAACCTTGATGAACATCGAGCAGTCCCTCAGCGTCATGGCCAGCCTAAGATTATGATCAAACGCCTCGGCATTACTCTTAGGTCGACAAAGCACACCCCGCGGATCAAGCGAACTCTGCAGATTGAGGAGGTGTTGTAGGAGGGCGAGGCCGTCGCCTATAGTGAGATAATCCACGAGTGCTTTTACAAGCGCGGCAATGACGACGGGGGATGGTCGGGTTTCTTTGCCAGTGTTGCTGTCGAATTGCTGGGAAACTGTTGCTTGGGACCATGGTTGGAGGGACGAGGAGTTTCCATGCAGTAACTGCAGAGGACAGATGTAGTTATCCCGTTTCTTGGGTACGGAAACGTGCATGGCGCAGGTGCGGCAGCGAATTGCTCCAACGGGTGCGTTGGGGGATTGCGCGAGCCATTTTGGTTTTACTTCGAGCGTTATTGATGCACCGGGTGTGGGCGACATGTCTGGGAGGAGGATGCCCCAGCACTTTCGTCGCGACTGTGGGGTTGCGAAGGTGTGCTTTTCGACGCGTGTGTAGAGGTGGCTCATGACGTCTGGCAGGAGCAATACGCCTTCGTGGTCCATGAGGTGTTTCGTGAGATCGCGAGCGGGCTGTTGGGGTTTGTTCCGCGGACCTGGGAGGAAGAGTGGCCGGATTGCATGTTCGAAGCCGTGCAGGATTTCTAGGGACGAAAGATGTTTCTGGCCGCCTCTGGGTACGCGGAGGACTCTTCCCATCAGGCTTCGATGGGGTACTGATGTTGCTACGCCAGTTTTTTTGTCTTTGGAAAGTACATCGACGAACTGGAAACGTGTCGCGACAGTGCTGATCTCGGGTCTGATCTTGAATATGACATTTGCTGCTCCTTTGTTCAGATAACCAAAAGTTACATGCGACCCAGCTGGTGTCGCATTCGTCGCCTGTACACAGCAGCGCGTCTGGCCATTTTCCTGCTCTTCCAAAAGGTGGTGCATTTCATCCTGGGTGAGTCGTATGGAAACCATGTTGGTCGGGCTCGTTGGCGTTTAAAACTGTCGTTGCCGGTCGGAGCATCCTACCAAGCCGCGCGCACACCCAGCCTGGCGACTATCGTGGGTGCATATGAGTGGTAGCGAGTCTTGATTTGCGTGGAAAACAGGATGGACTCGTCACGCGCGTCCAATCGTGTGTCTGGGTCTCACGAATAGGTGTTTTTGGTCGCCAACGTGTTCTGCGGTGGCCCTCTGGCACCCAAAGCTCGTGCGGTTGTGCGAAGCCCGAAAGATGACGTAAATGTACCGCACCACGGGGCGCGCAGGAAAACCCTACTGTTATGTTGCGGATGGGTCGAGGTACGGTGCGCAGACGGACGCGACATGGTTGCCTATGAATCTCGTCCAGGCTGACTTTTGTGGCGCTCAAGAGGCATGTTGGTTCCGTGGTTGGGGTGGACAATCGTCTGTCTCACGTAATCTCGCGTCGGCCAATCATGAGCATAACGTGCATTTCTCGCGACTTGTGACGCTCTCTAGTTTGTGCCCGAACTACCATCTTTTCGAACACGCCTGTCACGAGCTGTTCTCACCGCACATTGAATACCGGGATCTTTCCAGTCATCGTAATCCGTACTACGCGCCGCAATGCCGGCTCCCTCGCCCCTTCCAACCTACCTCTACAAGATCCTCCCTGCTGCCCCGCCATCCCCCCTCCCCGCGCGTCTCCCGCTCTCAGATCTCGACCGCAATGACGGATACATCCACCTATCAACGTCGGAGCAAGTACCTGGCACCGCCGACAAGTTCTTCAGCGACGTCTCGGAGCTGTGGCTGCTGAAGATCAAGTACGACGTGCTGGTCGCGGGCACCGATGGCGACGGGCAGGTTCATGCGGATAAGAAGGGTGAGCTCAAGTGGGAAGAGGTCGGAAGAGGTTGCTTTGCGCATTTCTACGGCGCAGACTTGGGTAACGGAAACGTCGAGAGTGCGTACAAGGTTGAGAAGAAGGGCAGCTGGGCTGACAGCTTGAGCCTGGAGTGGTGAGCGAGGCTAGCATATAGTGCGACGGGCAAGACCTAAAATTAGGTACTGCCCCAGAGCACGCAATAAACTCGTGAAACATTCATGTGTGCTCGGAAATACACTTTCTGGACCGCTCGCCATCCACATCTCTGAGACTCCCACACACCTCATACAAAGAAGGAAACAAAAGCTCTGGAGCCTAGATCAAGCTCTAAAGGGTAGCAGATGTGTTTGAGAAGCTATAGAGCGATCTCGAAAAACAGCTCTGATCAGAGTTAGCTATATCAGATCACTTTAACCCATCAACCAACGGGGCAGATAACTAGGTAATGATACGAATCTACAATTACAAGCAGACGTGCCCAGGTAGTCACCCAAGGAGGATATTTGCAACCAAAGCCCACTAGCCGTCCATAGACACATCCAAGTTCAATGAGAATACGTCAAAACAGCAACAAATAATTCCTACTTTTCTATTTCCCAACACTCCCCCACTCCTCCTCACTATAAACCCTCTTAACCTCATACAACCCAACCTCCTCCTTGAGCAAACCACCCATAACCTTCTTCGCCCACTCCGTCTGCCCACTCTCCTCCAATTCCTTCCACGGCAGAACCTCCCCACTAAACTCATGCAGCGCCAAATACTTCGGCGCAGTCTCCATCGCATCTCCAAACTGGAAGTCCTCCAGCGTAGACGCAGCGGCGAGTTTAAACCGGCGCGAGCGCACAAAGCCTGGTGCGCGGGAAAGAACCGGGAGGTGTTCTTTGCGGTACCACGCATCGAAGTCTGCATCTGAAGAAGCGTCTTTCGGTGGTTGGAGAGCGGCCGAAATGACGAATTTAGTGGGGGATGAAGTGGTTCCTTTGACGGCTTGGATTTCTTCGTAGAAACGGATGGCAAAGGCGGAGTTCTTGTAGATTGTGTTGATTAGTTCTTGGCTGGGAGGGTTCTTGCCGGCTATGTTCTGGAAGTCTTCGCTTTCTCTGTAGGCGATGTCGGGGAATTCGTAGGTCACCTGTTGGGGGGTTGGGGTTAGATGGCGGTATTGGGGTTCTGGGTTGAAGGACTTGCTAGCCATGGGAATTTGTTGCTGTAGACAGATGGTGAGGGTTGGGGTTGGATGGCTTGGTAGCGTACACCGGACGGTACGCCGCCGAGGCTGATGACTTCTTGAATGTGTTCCTTTCATTTCTTGTTAGCTTCTTCGTGGTTTTATGGGAAACTGCTCATGAAGAAGGATCGAAGTACATACATTCTCGTACCAATCGCAGAACTTCTCAGTAGAAAGCTTATCAGGATTCACGACGCGTGAAGCAACCCACAGTACACCGGGAGCCATGATTGTAGCAACGATGATTTCGATTCAGATAGTTGTTTGGTCGTGTGATCGGTGAAGAAGCAGTGGTTAGATGCCGGTAGGAGAGTAACAATGTTCCGGCAGTATAGTGACAAGGAACGACATCGGAGGTACTACTACACTGAGCTGAACCCCGTCATGTGATGGTTCGAGGAATAGGACCGACCATGAAGCTAGCCATAGACTAAGGAACACGTTATCCGACTAGACCTCCCATGGTGTTAGTGACGGTGGAGATACCCACTTCCAGCGTCGGTAACGGCGGTTAATGCGAGACTCGGGTATGGTCTCGGGATGCGAGCAAGTGAAGCGAACTAAAAGGCTCAGCCATAGTACCAAAACATAACTCAAATACATGATTGAGGTAGAGAGAAAACAAAGAAAAAAGAGAAGGTGATCAAACTCGCTAAATCGCATCTTCAGATTATATCTTCAACAATCGCACTACCTGGTATGCCTCCAACACATTTTGAGCCTAGTTGCCTTTGGAAAACCCAACGAGATCAATCACCGTGCGAGTCTATTATGATACAAATGTATTCTCTCCTCTTGACCTCAGAGAAGGAGAGTAATAATCAACGTGATCAACCATCGCCACCGCCCGCGGCTCGGTCGAGGCACTTCCTGAGCTTTCCTTGACCACAATGTCGCATGCCTCCGCTGACAAGTAGGATGACATAGAGAACCGCAAAGCAGTCGTCAGCAGAAAAGATGGTGCATACGTGGCTGTGATTATGCGGTTGCCACTGGTTTCGTGCTCGTAGGTTCGAGGGTAGAGGCTCGACATTAAGGTTTTGTTGTGGGCTACTATCGAGTCTAGCTCTTCTCGTATGAGCGCTGGACATCAAGCGACTGCTTTCCACCGTTTGCAGTTTGCCAGAAATCAAGACTGGCAATGACATCGGTGCCGAGTTCGTCTTCATAGGAGTACAGGATCTGGGTATTGTTAGCTTTCTGTAGGAATGTAATCTTACGGTATTGACTTACTTCTCGTGTCGACGTGTGTAACCATCTAATGTTCTTGGCTGTAATGATGTGCACCAGACCACCGCTCTCCATATGGCGTATTTCGATGAAGCTAGGCTCAAAGGCAAGGATGTAGGGGTTAAAGATGGCGAAAGCTTGCGGCGTGCCTTCCCATGTGATCTTCCAGTCGGGCCTTGCCCGCCAGCCGTTACGGTTGACGAAGAAGGAGTAGTCTGTATAGCATAGGAGGAACTCGCTTGCCATACGCTCGATATGGATTGGCTTGATGTTCTCCTTCCGTACGACGAAGTCAAGCGACGTATCTGCCTGGTCGAGCAGCGATTGCGTTTCAAGCGTCTCCAGACTGACAACTTCGAAACCGCGTGCACAGCCGACACATAGCTTGGATCGCAGGAAATGTATCGATGTCGATTCGGTGGGAATGTAGAACTCCTTGTAGGGCTTGAGCTGGTCTGCTCCGCTCGTGGAGAGCATCATCTTCGCGAAGCCTGACTTCTTGTTCTTGTTGCCCATCTGCTCCTTTGGCTCGTACACCTTGATAGTGGTCGAGAGCGCAGATGTCTTGACTGCAGCCACCAGTTGCTGCCCTAAGCAGATTCCGGCCTTGAAGAAGTTGGCGTGGCAAATCTTGCGTGGCCGCTTGACCATGGACTGGGTCTCGTCGGATTCCAGAGCCTCTGTCGAGTATGAATATAACGTCTTGTCGGCCAACACAAGCACGATTGCGTGTTGTTCGAGAACTTCGATCTGGGTTACACCCTTGCAATCCAAAACACGACGAGGTCGCATGGAGGCATCCTTTGGCTTCCGCTCCACGACATAAACACCAGCATCCGTACCAAGAGCCAGTTTGCGGCCACCGTCTGTCAAAAGTTAGTATCGAGATTATTAGTAGAATGATGAGATACATACCCAGCGGAACAGCGCAGGTGACTCTGATGGTCGGAGAGAAAAAGCCTTCGTTGACGATTGTCTTGGTGAAGATGTTACTTCGCTCTCTCAGACTTCGCTGCTGTGTGTCGATGTGCTCCATCCATTTCTGTTGAGATATGGGGGTGCTGGCAAATAGTGTCAACTCGTAACCGCCCTTTCCAAGATGCTTGAAGGTGATAGGGTATCCCTGCTGCTTGGGGTCGTTGTTCTTTGGAGTAGCAGCGGCAATGGCCTTGCCAGCGATCAAGTTGGCTGATGGCCTCTTGGAGATGCCCAACTTCGGATTGACCTCCTCCATCTGCGTAATGACCAAAAGTTCCAGAGGTATCGGCTTCTTGTAGACTTTCTGCTCCTCGCGCTTGTTGACCGTCTTCGCCCGGACCAACAAAACTGCATGATCAAACAAGTAACAAGTAATGTCACCAGTGGTCTCAGTTGGAGTCTTCTTCAAGGTACCCTTGAACACCAATTGCCGGTTCTCGTCGGTCAGCTTCAGATCCACAAACTCTCCAGGCCTAAACTTAAGGTCTTTGTTGAGCTGCATCAAATTGAAATGGTTCTCTGCCTTTCCAGACTCCACGTTGACCTTTGACAGAGTCTCCTTGATAATCTTGATGACCTTGGGAATGTCTTCCTTATCGGGGTTGTCATCGGCTGTGTACTTTGCGATGTTCTCCAAAAGCAGAGGGTACCTGGCCAATCTTGTCGTTGGTTTGGTAAGATAACCATTGAGCTCGAGCTTTCGCGATTCCTTCATTCTCTCTACCTCGTCGACAAACTTGGCGAATCCGGTATTTGTGCGTTTCTCATGCTCAAACTCGTACTTACCGAAGAGCTGGTTCGCACCGTACTTTATGAAGGGCGCAAAATGTGGCACATACTCGAGGAAGATGTCTCCGACATTTCGAACCACGGGTTCCTTTTGCTGGCGCCTCGTGAGCTGTTCGGCCATGCGCGAGTTGACCATGTAGACTTCCTGACAGTTTGAGAAAACGGTGCGGACAAACTTCTCTCGGCGGTGCTCAGGGATGGGAGAAGTCGCAGGGTTGCGAAGAGGCTTCATCCAGAAGTCTCGGAGATACTCCAGATCCTTTACGAAATCGCGTTCAGTGTACATGAGCTCAGAAATGACCTCTTGTCGCTTCTGTTCCTTCTCAGACACACTCTCAGAAACCTCCTTGGGCACAGTGTTGATCCAGAGTTTCTGCTCTTCATTGTCCTTGTCTTCATGCAAACTCGCCCTGGACTCCTCACGTTTAAGACCTGGCTGAATGCGCATGTTGAGACGAGCCTGCTGCTCAAGGCGGCGGGGGCAAGCAATGGAATAGCACAGGCGGTCGCGGGTGCACGTGGGAGAGTAACATTCGGTGAGAAGCGTGAAGACACCGTTGATCTCGGACTTGTCCTCTACCATGGTCTCGCGGAATTGGTAGATCTCGTTGGTCGAATCTCGCAACCGGTGAGCGTAAGTCACATCGTGGAAGAACTTTTGGGCGTCCAAAGAGCGGCCGAGAAGCAGCGCTAGATTACGATCCGTCGTCTTGATGATGAACGAAATGAGGTCAACCGCATCTGCGCCGGTGAAGGCACTCTTGTACACCAGACCGTCCTTCTCTTTCTCTGTCAGGCCAACTCGATCCTGGAAGGTTTCGGCAACTCGTGATAGCAAGGCGGGGTACACGAGCGGCGCGCGTCGCTGGGCGGCGGGGACCTGTTGCCCTTGTGAAAGCGAGGTCATGGACTGGTTAGAGGTTCTGTTGTTGCTGGCGTTGCTGCCCATAGTCTGGGTCGAATCAGGACGCGATGTCATCGAAGACATGGTGTTGGTCCGTTCGGACGGAGGCACAACGGTCGATGCCATGGACATGGTGCGGGACTGGGTTGGCACGCTGCCTTGGCTAATGCTCCTGGGATTTGGCGGGAGTCCAGCGTTCATATGTTGGGGCTGGCCGGGCGCTCCAGGTGCCATCTCTGATCCGCCAGACTCTCGCCTTCGGTTTGGTATGATCCTGCCGCTCATTGTCTGAGTGTGCTCGGGGTCTCTGGTGTAAGAGGTCATAGACATTGTGCGTTCGTCGGGACGTTCTGGAACAACACGCCCCTGGGCCGTAGTCCGTGCCATGTGGTTCATATATGGTTGTTGGCGGAAGGTGTTTGCTTGCGAGGGGTGTGAAGGTCCTCCGGGGGTGAATTGCGGGCGCGGGTTCAGAGCTAGTGACTGCGAGCGATACGGGTCAGCGTTCATTGCAGGGCCCGGTGGGCCGGGAAAGCGGTTGGGTATGGGCTTGGTGAAGGGGGGCTGCCCTGGAGGGGAGGTTCGCGGGTCAAAGCGCTGGGGCTGTCCGTATGGCTGACGCTCCGGGCGAAGCGGCTGGGGGAGGTACTGGGGCTGCGGCTGGCGTTGAGGCTGCGGCGGGCCCTGGTGGTATCGTGGGTCTTGGCCGTAGCCGTTCGGCATGGGGCGATTGTAGGCGTTTTGGGGGTCCATGGGCCGCTGCTCGCCGGGATTGCTGCCCGGGCGCGCGTCGTATTGGGGATGAGGGCGACGATCATAGCCATTGACCGGCTGGCGCATGGGCGGGGCGCGCTGCATCATGTCGGCAGTCTGGCTGGACATGGTGGCAGCTCTGTCGGGCATGCGCATGTGAGACTGCGAGGTCATGGTCTGCGAGCGGCCGGCCATTTGGGGGCTGGCGCCGAAGATGTTGGTGAAGGCGGTTTCCCGTGCGCCCGAGGGCTGGCCATGGTTGGGGCCGCGCGCATACTCTGGACGTTGGTGGTTCCCGTAGTCGGCCATGTCTCTGCGCAGTCTTGCCTGGTCGGGGTGCAGTGCCGCGGGGTGTGGCCGAGGGGAAGAGGGCGACTGGGGCAGGAAGGGTTGAAGCCGCCCAGCGAGGACCCAGGGCCGTCCTGGATGAAGATACGTGAAGATGCGAGGTGGTGTAGGTGCGAAATGGGCGGGTAGGGTGTAGTCGTATCCACGATCGTGTGTATTAGAAGCGCTGGGGCGTGCTGCCCCCCGAAGCAGCCTAGTGCCATTCTCCTACGAACGCCCAGCGCAACGACTATCAATCATCCAACGCCTCACCCATCACGCGTCGACTCCCTCGCTACTACACCACCCGCCCGACCTGCGCACCACCCGAGCAGGTATCATGTCGTCAAATGAGCTCGCGCCGAGCTTCGCGCCGTTCTTTGGCATGGTGAGTGCCACGCCGTGTTGATGACTTCATAGCTAACCTACGACGCAGAGCGGAATCGCGTTTGCTGTGAGTAGCACCTCTCCCACGTAGCTGTCGAACTAATTTACGAACCGCGCCCAGATGATCTTTGGATGTACGAGACCCGGCCCAACCGCTTGGACGTGCAGGAGCTAACGGCAGCAGGCGCTGGAGCTGCCTATGGCACAGCCAAAGCAGGCATCGGCATCGCTGGTATCGGAACATACAGGCCAGACCTGATTATGAAGGTGAGGAGCTGTCTATGGCGTCTGTGGGTGCTCCGACTAACTAGGGCAGTCGCTCATCCCCATCGTCATGTCTGGTATCTTGGCCGTCTACGCCCTCGTCATATCCGTCCTCATCGCTAGCGACATCAAGCCGCCGCCGGACAATACATACTCGCTGTATGCTGGATTCATGCACATGGCCGCCGGTCTGTCAGTCGGGTTATCTGGCCTGGCTGCGGGCTACGCGATTGGAATCGTGGGAGACGCCGTACGTAGCGTTGGTTCTACAATGGCGGCACACACTGACATATGTAGGGTGTACGCTCTTTCATGCGCCAGTCGAGAATCTTCGTCGGCATGGTCCTCATCCTCATTTTCGCCGAAGTTCTGGGTCTTTACGGGTGCGTTCAACGGACTGATGCGACTAGCCAACAGCTAACATGTTCAGACTCATTGTCGCCCTCATCCTCAACACCCGAGCAAGTGGCTGAGGTGCAAATTACGCAATACTTGTCTCTTCTTAACGTCTACACTTAATTCCTACGTTAAAGACGAACTTGGTGGTGGGCAATTGTACGACTACATGGTGTAGATATAGTTGACGAGCATGCAATACTTGGAGTTACAGTTTTCGGAGTTTTGGGCATATCTAGTACAGTCGAATAGCATGTTAAATCCTCGTATGGCGATTCGTATCGAAATGAGATGAGCAGGCAGAATGGCAGAACATCGGCGGATAGCGTGCAATTGCGTCTTGTGCGGCCGAGCACGGGAAGTCTGTTTAAGCAGTAGCTAACAGGGAACCTAAAAGGCACTATGTTTGCTCACATCGGAAAGTTAAAAACACATCAGGTTCGTACTCGACAAGTGGAGCGGCGTGCCGTCTCATCAGGCTTAAGTCGGCTTTGTTGCAAGCCCAGTCCCCACGCCCTGCGTCATTGAGTGAGTGATCAAAAGCCCCCGCCATGCATGCACCTGGTCGCGCCCGCTTTATAGTCCAACGTGCCCCTTGGCCGCGGTCGTCGAGTGCTACACGCCCGGCCGACCCGCCTAACCACAGGCTGCCCTTCACGATACGTTTGCTTACTACGCACCTACAAACCCGAAGATTGACCCGCCGCTGCCTGTGCCTGCTGCCATGAGTTGCTTCCGTTACTGATTCCGGATAAGACAGCACCTGAGCAACCCACCCGACCCCTCGATCGCGCCTACTACTCGCACCCCTACCCCGTTGTCGCAGGCGCATAACCGGCCACCATGGCGACTACCTTCAAGAACATGCTGCACCCCATGCAACACCACCGGGACAAGAAGGAGGCCTCTTCACCGTCGCATTCTGGCCCGCTACACGACCGCACCGATTCGGCCATGGACCGGCCGCGCGAGGAAGAGAAGCAGCACCTGGCGCAATGGGAGGCGCAAAAGCACACGCTCAGCCACGACGAGATTGACATTGACCCGGAGAAGAAGCCCGTCGGCCACTCGTCCAAGGTCCTGCGCGAGGAAGACTTTGAGCTGATCAAGACCCTCGGCACCGGTGCGCATACTTGTCCACGCCGCTAGACGAGGACAGGACGCTGACTCTACGTCAGGTACATTTGCGCGCGTGTGGCTGGTGCGATTGAAGGACGCAAAGGCGGGCGACGAGAACAAAGTCTTCGCATTGAAGATTCTGCGCAAAGTCGATGGTACGTCTGCGCCCTCGACATGCGCCCTTTGCATCTACTGACGCCCGTCGCCCAGTCATTCGGCTCAAGCAAGTCGAGCACGTCCGGAACGAGCGCAATGTTCTGGCTAAAGTGGCTGGCCACCCCTTCATAACCACCATGGTTGCCAGCTTCCAATCCCTGGATTCCCTCTATATGGTGGTACGTAGCGGCGCCTATCGCGAGCACTCATCAATGACTGACACGGTGGGCAGCTCGACTACTGCCCCGGCGGCGAAGTCTTCAGCTACCTGCGGAGAGCACGGCGCTTCAACGAGCCCACCTCACAGTTCTATGCTGCCGAGATTGTCCTTATACTAGAGTTCCTCCACGAGAGGGAAGGCGTCGCATATCGCGACCTAAAACCTGAAAACATACTCATAGACGCCGAAGGCCACCTCAAGCTGGTCGACTTTGGGTTTGCCAAGAAGGTAGAGAATAGAGAGACCTACACACTCTGTGGCACGCCCGAGTATCTGGCACCCGAGGTCATCCGGAACACAGGCCACGGCACAGCAGTCGATTGGTGGGCATTTGGTATCCTGGTGTACGAGTTCCTCGTGGGACAACCACCGTTCTGGGACCAGAACCCAATGAAGATTTACGAGCAGTACGCAACTATCCATGATGTTCGAGAGAGTAGAGCTAATACCCCGCAGAATCGTAGAAGGACGCGTGCGCTTCCCTTCTGCCATGTCCCCCACTGCACGCGACCTCATCTCCGGCCTCTGCACCGTCGACACATCCAAGCGACTGGGTAACGTCGCAGGCGGCGCTCAACGTGTGAAACAACACGAATGGTTCAAGAACATTGACTGGCAGAAGCTGTACAACCGCGAAGTCCAGGGACCCATCGTACCACATCTAAGGGGGCCCGCTGACACACGCAACTTTGACGAATACGAACCGGAGTCGGAGAAGAGAGACCCATATACCAAGGAACTGAGCGACAAGTGGGAAGAGAGCTTCAAGGACTTTTAGGTTTGTGTCTGTAGGCTTCACAAGGGGAAGCCCGAGAACAGGTCGTCGCCTTGGATATGATGCCTGGCGCCCGATGAGCGAGACTAGGACAGGGATAGAGGGAGCATTGGATATGCAACCCGGGCCCATCACGAAGCATTGTAAATGGAAGGCGAAGGGGGCTTTGTGCTTGGTGGGGTATTTTGCTGCTATGACGAGTTTCCCCGTTGCCACGCACATCACATGTGCTGAAAGCGATACCGGTAGTACGCTTTGGTATGAAGCGCATACCAGCTCTATGAAATGTGAACGTATCTTATGTATGAGGTCCAAGCCGTCGATGCTCACTACCATTCAATCTGTCCACGTTGGTTGTCGTGCTCACGGTTTCACTTCTCGCCCATCATCCAAGGAAACAAGTATATGGCACCACATACAAGGAAAAAGGCTGAGCGGGTCTGCAGCCTACATCAATGTGGAAACATGCAAAGTAGGTGACACAACACCAACGTAGGCTCCACGGTGCTTGATTACCTTGTTGACTGAGGCGATGGAAGTGTGAACGCACGCATATGCATGTTCAAAGAATGGCGAAAAAAATGGCAAAAACATACAACAGCAATTATTCGCTTCGGGTCACCCAAGAAACTACTAATTTGCCGGTAACAAGCTTGAGTACCGCTGAGCAAACGGGAAGCGCTATTTATCTTGTTCCTGTGGTCGTATGTGGAAGAATGGGCCAAAAGTGTGATATATAAAGCCGTGATAGATGAGTTGGCGACAACAAGCTGGGATAGCGATGGCACACAACTGTGACCTGAATGTCTACTAGAAACTTTGATGGCGTTTGACCGCCGCAACAAGTCGAGTAGACTCCTCAAATTCTGAAGAAGTGTCAGGCGCTTCTCGTGATAAGCGTTGCAGTTGGCGACTACTTATGTATGGTAGCGACGTATTAGGAAGTGCGGTTGCACATGTCAGCCAATTGGCTGCGGTGGTGCCCTCATCAGCCACACCACATCTGGCATAGACCGTACCGTATATCAGGTTATCGCAACGAGGTGCATACATGTGGCGAAGGCTGCATCGCGAGATCCGGAGGAATCGACGATGGGTGTGCGGGTGACAGGAGCTACGTACAGGCGGCCCAGAGCGGATAGGAGGTGAGGTGGAGATGAGTTGGCGATGGAACACGCTGGGGTAGCCCGTGAAGCAGAATTCAGGCGCTCAGCTGTGATGCGCTCTGTTGCTGTCATTGGGTTCAAACACGTCTTGGACACTCCAGGGCCTTGATGGCATGATAAATACGTAGGCAGACTGGGCACACACCCCAGTGGCAAGCCTGGAAGTTGGGCGGCATAAGTGAGAGGGGGCATGGGGAATGCGCTCCTCTTTCCAAGGCCCAAGCGCGCTTTGAGATTAACATGGTAATACTTGCTTGCAAGAAGCACAACACGACGCATTTCCTTTTCGTGTCTTGTAGTAATCGATCCATGCCCCTTTCCTTCTTGTTCTTGTTCTAATCGTAGTTGTCTATTCTTTCTGGTGTGGCCGCCGCATCACGACCCTCTTGGATTACCGGCAAGTGATGGACAAGCAGGCCAAGCGCATCCCATAGCTTCGTTAGCAGCCAGGCCGCCATTTATTTACCCAACGCCCGCACCACGACGGCCTCGCAGCGCATTTCCAAACTGCATGCTGGGCGCCTCCGGCTGGTTGCTGGCATGAGCAGTATCAAGACACGGCTGCAGAATGCGCGGTCCAAGTTGTTGAGACGCAGCAGCGCGACGTCGAGCAGTGCACGCTCACTCACTTCCTCGCATGGCAGCGAGAGGCATGCGCGCCCGCCGCCGACCAGCTCCCTCCGCAAGAGCGTCTCGCTGCAGCAGCTGCCCGAGGTGTCTGGCGCGGAGACTCCCGACGACAAGACAGCTGATCCGCGCATGGTCAGGTCGGATGTGCTTGGAGTGGCCGCCGACAGTCAGGCCGACGGCAACGGCAGCACTGGCAGCCTGAACACCTCGCGAGATCGACACTCGACCTGCACGAGCATCGCGAGCACCGCAAGCCACCACCACAACCACCACCAGCGCCCGCCCTCTGCCGACGTGCCTGTCGTCCTGCCAGAGGTGACTCTCGAGGCGCCCACGCCTCTCCACCCCGTAGTGCAGCAGCCTGCCGAGCTCAACCGCGCCGAGCCATCGTCGCTTTCTTCCGCCCCGAGCGACCACACCACCACCGAGCCTGTCCCCGCCAGCAGCAACGATACCTCGCACAACCCATCGCCCGCCCTCGTCCGCCGCCAGTCCGTCGTCAACAAGACCGATGCCCAGCTAATCAAGAAGCTGCTCGTCCCCGACATCCCCCAGGCTGCCATCCAGACCGGCCCGCCCACCGTCGCCGACTACTTTGGCGGAGCACCCGCCCACTTCAGCGCTGGCATGCTGCACCGCAAGATCTGGGTCAAGCGGCCCAGCGCCTCGGCCACGCTGGTGCAGATCCGCGAGGACGACCTGGTCGACGACGTCCGCGAGATGATTCTCAAGAAGTACGCCAATTCGCTGGGAAGGAGCTTCGACTCGCCCGACGTCACGCTGCGCATCATCCCGCGCGACAACCAGCGGGGAGGAGACCGCACCCTGGGCCCTGAGGAGGACATGTGCCGCACCCTGGATGCCTACTTCCCCGGCGGCCAGAACGTGACCGAGGCCCTCATCATCGACGTGCCCCAACGGAGGACCCCCAAGCCCTCACCTCGCGTGCCCTTTTACTACCACCACGAAGATGGCGTCCACCCACAGACCGAGTACTTCCCGCCCATGCCC